ACTGAAGTAAGCAACCACTTTGAGATATAAAATCATATTCAATCTCTTGTCCATGGGATTGTTCATCCATTTTGGGCAGATGAGAAAAGTAGAAATTTCTCTATCAATTTTCATCCACCAAATCTGAAGCCAAGAAACCATAGCTCATACAAATTGTCAATTATACGAGTTTGTGGACTGCCCCTTCTTTTTTTTTTCCCCTTTTAATGGAGCAAAAGAATAATAATGTCTTTTGCAACAAGAAAGTCTTTGAACTTCATCATCCCAGTATATTATATACAATAGAAAAAAAATCATTGCAGTAATTGATTAAAAGAAATAAACAAAAAATGCTTTTGCTCCATTAAAAGGATAAAAATTGGAGCTTTCATGCTGACTCAATAGCTGAAAGACAGAATTGCTCTAATCATCCTCAACTAAGAAAGAAAAAACGTGTCACAAACACTAAGAAAGACAATAAGATGAAAATCTATGTCAAGAAACACTGATCTAACTCCTCATACTAACCTAAAGACGTTAAATTGACTCCTACAAAAAAAGTTGTATTTCAGACCATGGAATTCTGCTGCCGATCAAAATTGAAGAGAAGTACTCTTATTATCAGAACCAGAGTCTGATAGGTTCATGAAATTTCGACATCAGAAGCACAAAGCCGACTCCTCAAAGGACCATAAAGATTCCCAATTGCTGTATTCAGGATCAAGAAAATGCGGCCAACTGGGGTCACCCATTGCACTGAAACCATCAATGTCCGTTGAATTGTTAAAGGATGAACTACCGCCAGGTTCAAAATCAGGATCGAGAACCTGTGTTGGCTGCAGATCATCCACCTCAGAAAACGAACAAGAATCATCTTTGGCATTCCCCTGATCACCCCCATTCTCTAGAGAACGTTTTCCCTCATTCAAACAACTTAACCCAGTTGCAAAAATTTCATGATTTTCACTGCATAGACTTTCTCCAGGGTTTCCAGCAAAACCCTTTTCTCCACAGGGCTGATTAACCAAATCATTATGAGTAGTTCTTTTGGTTCCATTCACCTTCTGTGTCTGAGATGATTGCTTTCCAGGGTAAAGTGAAACCCTTCCATTCAAACAACTTAACCCAGTGGCAAAAATTCCTCGATTTCCACTGCATAGACTCTCTCCAGGGTTTTCAACAGAAAACTCTTCTCCAAAGAACTGATTAACCAAATCATAATCATCACTTCTCTTGGTAACATTCTCCTGCTCTGTTTGAGAAGAATATTGCTTTCCATTGAAAAGTGAAACCTTTTCATTAATAAACTCTACTTCAGATCTGTTGCACCTGTTGTTGCAGCTTTTGAGAATCATTCCCGCTTCTTCAGGACTCTGACTTACTATCTTCGACTGAGATTCACTGTACTCCTGGTTGTAGTTTGCAGCAGCAGTTGCTTCATCAGGAATCATCTCCCCTGCTTTCGGGCTCACTTTTCTAGTAGAAATTTTGCTGGGATTCGACGCAATCTTGGCTTCAGTCTGTTTGTACTTGTCAACAATGCTTCTCGTTTGATCAACATTCTGAGGCCAGATATCAAAGTCACCACTGGGGGCTTGAATCAGAACGCAAACAGGAATGTCGCACAAGATTGAAAGCTCTCTTGCCTTTTTTATGATCCCTTCCTTTCTTCTCTTGAAAACTACAGAGTTTTCCTCGTTCCTCCGCAACTTCCTTTTCTTAGATCCCTCTTCTCGTTCCATCTTTGATTGATTGAGGAGAACAATGTCTAAAGATCTTACTTGATAGATTCTGAGGCGAAATAGAGTGCTAGTAATCTTGGAATACTACTAGTAGTGATATATAAAGCTACGTTTGTCTGACCGACCTTACGATTTGTTTCTTTCCAAAAACGAGACTGCGTAACAACAACGTTACAATGAAACCTAGTACTCGCTACTTTAAAAGTAAGGGCCTTAACTTTTACACAAATATATATTTGTACCCCAGATGTCTCAATTTTATTCCATGATGAGGAAAAAAAAAAAAGAAAAAAAAAACTTAAGTAACAGTTAATCCTATAATTGTGTTATTTCTAATTCTTCAGTCACTGCTCTATTTGTTGCTTTCCCAGTGAAGAACAATAATATAATTTGTTGTTTCAACATATTTGGGAGGTGTTATGTGAATGCAGAATCTGACGAGCAGGGTTTTGATTACATATTTTCGGCATAAGCAAATTTGTTTGTAGGGAGTAGACCGTGTAAGTTTCAATATTAATCTAGGAATCTAGGCCCTGTTTGGAAGCTCGATTTTTTACCAAGTTTGTATAAAACTAGTTTTTTAACAACTTTTGCTACAAGAACCCCAAAAAACTTATCAAAGTTTTTAACCTACACACTTAAAATATTCAAAACACAAAAAAAAAAAAAATTTCCTTCCCCTTTTCTTCTTCTTCCTCCCCCACCACCACCTCCATTGCCGGCTCCGTCACCAATTTCCGGTGCCGGTGTCGGTCTTTTTTTTCCCCTTTTTTTCCCTCTCCCCCTCTTCCTCCCCTACCATCATCCTCTCTTGTCTTTTTTTTTCTCTCTACGTCCGGCGCAGAGGGGGGTGGCACAGAGGAGGGCAGCGAGGGGGGCAGAGGGGGGAAGGGGCGGCGGGGAAGGGGAAGAGGCAGAGGGGGGCGGCGCAGAGGGGGACGGTGGGGAGAGAGGGAAGGCGGGGGGAGGGGCAGAGAGGGGAGAGGGAGAAGGCGGGGCAGAGGGGGGTGGCGGGAGGTGGAGTTGCTGCTGGGGGTGGTGGAGGTAACGGGGAAGAAGATGAAGAAGAAAAAGAAAAAGAAAAAGAGAGGAAAGAAAAGAAAAAGGAAAGAAAGAAAAAAAAAAAGAAAGGGAAAGGAAAAGAGAAAAAAAAAAGAAAAAAAAAGAAAAGAAAAAAAGGAAAAAAAAAAAGAAAAAAAAAGTTTTTCACCTTACAAAAACTTCTACAAAATTTTTTCAAAAACTTCTACAGTACACTACAGTAAAGTTTTAGACAAACTCCCAAAAAACTCAGGTTCCAAACAGGCCCCTAGTCTTCACTACATATTTTTGGCATAAGGAGATCCCTAGATTGTTTTAGGCAAGTTAAGAAACATTTTTTTCCTATTTTCCTCAAGACTTGACTCAGTTAGTAGGGAAATTAACCAATTAAATGTGGGATCCCTGATTCATTTCTCAAGCTCTTCTCTTTTCTTCTTTTCCTTGTAAAGTTTTGAATCTCCCTCAAACTAAAAAAAAAAAAAGACTCATCTTTCCTCTCAATTTGTTTGTATTTTATTTGGTATTTACCATCAGGATCCGAGCAAACAAGTCCGTGGCTTAATTAAGCCATCCAGCAAAAATATATACAATTACAATTATTGGTGCTAAATAGCACGTACATTACCATGTGAATATATACAATCATAATTATTGTATCCCTACACTTAGATACTTTACCAAATTAACTATGTTAGTGAATATCCCATATTAATATTCCAATAATTTCCAATCATACGGGGATCACTCCACTCGTTGCCAATTGATTTTAAGAAGGAAATCCAAGTTGTTTATCAAACTATGTAATTTGAAAACCCTCTTAAAGAATAGGCATCTATTAGCCAAACCGTTTTAGAATCTCAAACAAAATCAAAACTGTTAGTTCTTTTGTGCCAGCAAGGTTCTAATCGGTGGTGCGATCTAAAAAGGATTAAATAGGAGGACTAAATTAGACAAAAATAAAGTTGAGGGATGAAATCAGCTTAAGTAAAAAAAAAATTAAAGGATTAAAATGGCCATTTTCCTCGCTATTTATGCAAGGAAAAATTTGTAACATCTTTTTTCTTTCAACGTTTATAAGTACAAGGCAGTCAAATGGTTAAAGTAAGGTTGTAAATGAATGAAATCGCATAGAAAAACCCAACTCATTAACTTGCAGACCAGCTTGAATATATATATATATATATATATATATATATATATATATATATATATATAGTAAAGTTACATATATATTCCTAATATTTTTACTATTTTATTTAATTTTTATAAATTTTTTTTTAAAACTCGAGTAGACTCAAATTTGAGGTTGAGATCGAATTTGAATTTATATTAAAAACTCGTCGAACTCAAGTTCAAGTTTAGGTTTGATAAAATTGAGTCAAGACTCAGCTTGATCCTTAATTTGATTAGGCCAAAACTCTACTATTTGTAGCTTAGGTCAATCTACTATATTCAGAAATGAGGGATTTAGTTATGATTTATGCATTTCTAAATGATGGGATGCAAAAATCAAGTGGTATTACTAGGTCAAAGCATTGTGGGATCTAGTGTGCTCTACCACAACAAACCTAGATGGTAGAAATATGAGAGATAAGGACATTTAGTTAACTTGCTATTTATTTTCTGTATTTTTAAATTTTAAAAACTAACCCTCTTCATAATTTAAGTGAGATATTTAATATTTTGTTCATATCAATTGCCAAAATAGGAGTTTATGTTATATGGCGAACTATTGGGAAGACTATGAGTGCGTTCGGATTGATGATTATTTAGAAAAAAAATTCTAAAGTAACACTTCAGTACTCTATTTGTGACGTGATGCATGTTAATAAAATTATGATTGGAAAAATAAAAAATTTATTAGAAAATATGTTTATGATATAAGTAGTTTTTTTGGTTTTAGAAAATGAACTATGCAAACAACATATTTATATCAGTGAATTCACATATAGTGAAGTGATGACCAGCAAATGACCTTCTTAAATAAGTTCATCTCATGATTTAACCAAAGAAAAGGCCATCCTATAATAGTGCATATTTTGTAGGCGTTGTTGTTAATCTGGTTTCATTTCACGTCTTCAATACTACATCAGTTGGGTGCGTGATAATAATACCACTTCAGATAACGCCTTCTATGAGCAGCTTAAATTAAACGGCCTTCACCTTTTATATTGTCTGTTTTCAATCAAGAAATAATTAATTCATAAACGAACTGAACTGGACGGGCTTATCTGTTCTCTTTGGGCAGACTTGTTTATAACGAATTCGATCCGGCACCAAACCATGGAACCACTTGACAAATTATTAATTCCATCAATCTACATTATGTTGATGATTGAAGATTTTTCCTTGAACACAATTCTAGTGCTCTGATATTCTTTTCCACTGATAATCAGCTTTCTTGAATGGCTACTTTCTCATCTCTGACCAGACCCATCTCAGAATCTTCACTAATTGCTTTAAAGTTGGGTGATCAATCCCCAAATTCACTTGGTTTTCCGAAACATTTCGTATTTTCAAGACATGGGTTCTGCTCCTTTCCACCTGGGCTTGTTCATATTCAGCTAAAGCCATCTCTTGCTATCAAGAATTCGTATCAGACCGAGTCTTCCACCGGTAAGTTTAATCAGCTTTTCCCAAAAAAAAAATGTTTAACTAGCTTGAATTCACTACCTTGAATAGGTATTTTTCCTACTTTTGTTGGTTTTTGTTGCTGTATTCCCTGCAAAAGAATAACCGAAGAAAATTCTGCTCACTAACTTTTTCATTTTGCATAGACAGAATCTACCGTATTATCATCTGAAGTACCAATTCTTTCTTGCTCAGAGGTTTGTTTTCAACTTTTCATCTGTCTTAATATGCGAATTACCTAATTTTGTTATATGCGGTCTACGAAAGATAAGATAGACAGGCAGGATGCGAAGGTGGCAGAATAGGTTGCTTTTTGTTGTTAATTCTATTCATATGTGCTTTAAATGTGAGAGACTTGTCTAATTAGCTTAATCCTGTTGCCAGTCTTGCCATCTCAATTATTTCAGTTTTGATTTTAGTTAAATATGTATTGAAGGCTTTAGGAAATCGAAGCTATTAATAGAACTGGTTGTGGATGATGGTGCTGATAGCTATTGTTGATATTATTTGTCCGTGGTGAAGGCAATTGAGAGGTTAAGGACAAGCCGAGAAACTTATAAAAGCAAAGAGCAGTATTTAGCTATGTACTCTAGTGTTTTTGGTGGAATAACAACAGATCCATCTGCAATGGTAATCCCCATGGATGACCACATGGTCCACAGAGGGCATGGAGTTTTTGACACTGCTGCCATTATGGACGGGTTAGAAACCTAAACTCGTCTCTGCAGTCATAAGTTCCTTTTGAGTTTTGCCGTGTGGCACATTTTTGGAAGATTCTTTTATGTGATTACTTTTAGCAAGATGGATTTCTCACTAGACATCATCATCTGGCAGAGGTTCAAAGAAATTTGCGGTTATTGTTAAAGTATGCGTTTGGTTTTGGCACTGGTTGCTTTATGCATAAAAATTTCCATGCATATGCATCATATCAACTTCTATTTTTGTAATATTGCTCCTGATTGTCTGCAATGGTAATTTCTCTTGCTTCAGATTTTTCTGTTGACAAATGTTTTCTATGGTAAAATCTAAAGTGACAGTTTTAAACTTAATTTGGACATTGCTTATAGAATATGTCCTTATTTTGTCTTAACTTCTTTATGAACAAACAAGTCCTCGGGTACTAAAGCCTTCTTTTATGAACAAACAAATTTTTGGTTGTTCCTTTCTCTTTCTTTGTTGTTTATAATGCAACTAGAGGAAAGCAACTTGGCTTAGTGATTACTTAATGTGAGGTAACTTTTTCATTTCCTTCATATCCTAGATATCTTTATGAATTGGACCAACACCTTGACCGTTTCATAAGGTCAGCTACCACGGCCAAGATTAAGCTACCATTTGACAGGGACAGCATTAGAAGAATACTCATACAAACTGTAAGTGCTTCCAAGTGCAGAAAAGGCTCACTAAGATACTGGCTTTCAGCAGGACCTGGTGATTTTCAGTTATCTTCATCAGGCTGTCATCAGTCTGCTCTTTATGCTATAGTAATTCAAAACCAGTCGCCTCCTGATTATAGTGGTATCAGAGTAGTTACTTCATCAATTCCAATTAAACCTCCTCAGTTTGCTGTCATGAAGAGTGTGAATTATCTTCCTAATGCGCTTTCAAAAATGGAAGCTGAGGAAAATGGTGCATATGCAGCAATATGGCTGGATTTTGATGGCTTTATAGCTGAAGGTCCTAACATGAATGTGGCCTTTGTAACAAAAGAAAAGGAACTCCTGATGCCTGAATTTGACAAAATTCTCAGTGGCTGCACAGCTAGAAGGGCTCTGGTGCTTGCGGAAAGTCTTGTAAGGGAGGGAATACTCCAGAACATACGGGTAGATAAAGTAACTGTGGAGGAAGGGAAGAATGCAGTTGAAATGATGCTGATAGGCAGTGGAGTTCTCATCCGTTCTGTGGTGCAATGGGATGAACAGGTCATTGGTGATGGTAAGGTTTAGCATATTTGATGCAATTAGTGTGAGAATCTTATGGTTCATTGTAGATTAGTAATACTGGTTATATTTAGGTTATTCCCTAACCAACTTATTGCTGGGTCGGGATGGGAGTAATATCTTTCTCTTCTGATGGATAAACTGGCAAATAATAGTATATTTCCTACCAAGTTCCTATGTCTTGTCAAAGCTTAAGATTCTTCACCATATATGGAGAAAAAGCCATAAAGCAGTCTTGTACTTCAAAAACATAAGCTTCCCTTCCCCTATTGTGATTTATGTTTTCAGAAAATGATTTAGTACTTGAATATCACGTTATTTTCACTAAATTTTATCAGCTTTAAGATTCTATGTACTATTAATTTTAAGGGAATAACAGCTTTGATCACAATTTCAAGAGTCACTAGTATCTGTTGTATATTTCGTTAAAGTTGAAGAAGCAGCTTCTGAAGCTTGTATTTGACTTGTAGTTGTAGATCGTAGGATAAACAGACTGGCCCTTTTCTCAATTTGAAATCTAACAATGTCCCTGCAACAGATGAAAATTCTACACGTTTAACCACGGCATATCACTAGGTGAATGGAGACGAGAGCATATCATAGATCGATATCTGTTCATGTTCACTCTGCGCTGTTATTGAACTAGTGCAATTTTTGGCAAAATGTTGGATAATTAAGACAGTGATGGGTGATTGCCAACTCTCAGACAACCAGGAATTAGTGATTGGTTATTGACTTCTGTGTACTTTTCTTTTTAGGCAAAGAAGGTCCAGTATCTAAGGCTCTACTGAAACTTATCCTGGAGGACATGAAATTGGGGCCTGCTTCCGTACGAGTCCCTGTCCCTTACTAACCTGTTTGCAGTTTGCTAGGAGGAAGACACACTCACAGTCATGTTCTTGAATAAAAATTTTGGAAGCTTTTAGATTTACATATCACAAAATCTTGTTTCAAGTTTCCTGTAGTTTATAATATGGAGCTGTGTTCTAGCATCATTATTGACTAATGGGCCTGGGGCATTGGTAAGAATGATAATGGGTGTAAAATTCCTTCATTTGTAGAGGATCCCAATTGCTTATTGATCTGCACTGTTTCTGCTCATGTGTAGATGTTCACCCTTCTTTTCTCCCAGTTTTGTTGAAAAGATGGAAACCATCGCTCTGGCTTCAAAAATTTCAATTACTTTAAAGTTTCAATGATCAAATTTTACTTAATTGTGAGGAATTTGGAGGTTCTTTACAGCATTTTAGCCTCTAGTATCATATACTAGTCTACATGACAGTATTAGTTTTATACAATAAAACTAGGCTAACGTACTTATGATATGATTTTTCTCACATTATAATCAAGTTTCAAAAAAATAAAAAAATAAAAAGCACTCTAGACTTTAGAATATTGACTTGTCAAATAATTGTTCTACATAACAATAGAAAAATGTAAAGGGAAACAAGTGAAACTCAGTCTTCCACAGAATTGTGATCTGCAACTCAGCATTGTTTGCAATCCTTCCAGCCTTTTTGAATTCAATCCAATCGTCCACAGCTGTCTTGGAATTTTGATGGTTGTCTTTTTGCCCATGATTGAAGGACCCCTCATTTCTTGATTCTTCATAAGCAACGCAAACAAGGTCCACTGTCTCAGTCTCTGCAATACCTCCACTGCCCTTTACTAACATGTTGACAGTTTTTCCTCAGCATCGTTGCATGGATCATGTATCCAATGTATATACACATACTAATAATCATTACCTTTTTTGCATTTATATACCTTCTGTATTTAATCGTACATACCATCTTTTATATTTATTTACTTTTCCTAATTAATGTTATATTTCTAAAAATGTAACACCTAAAATATATATTAACGCGGGCTTAATAGACATCCGTCAGACAGACACATTTAAAAAAGTACAATTAATAAAAAAATGTATAAATGCTAAGAGAGAACAATAATTGTTAGTGTGTATATACATGATTCATTGAGTAAAATTAAACGTGTTAATGAGTACTTATTGAATATTTAAAAAAAAAAAAAAAAAGTACTATTGAATACATATGGACATTCGTTTACGAGGGGCTCACCCCTTTTTTGCTCCTGCAATGCCCAGCCCCTCACCAATTCCTCTTTGAAGTCCCTTGCTGCTATTCCTCTTCCTGTTTTGTTCGTTTACAAGGCTATAGCAGCATCCGTGTTAATTCTGATTATCCCTTGTTCAGGGGGGCACCAGTTCCTGTTTTGATGCTGATGAGTTGTTTCAGCAATGCATTTTCTGTCATTTACTTCCTCAGCTTCCTTGAACTCCAACCATTCCTGTTGAGCCTTCTGTACACAGCTTAGTTCCTTCCTTGCTGCTTGTCCATGCATCACTCTCTTCCTATCTTTCCATATCTGCCAAAAGGATATTAATTGTCGAGTCAATGTGATCTTGACCATCAGTTCTTTCCTTTGCCTGTAATAATCCCTCCCACCATCTCCAAAAGTTGGACCGGAGATCATTAAGACCTTCCCAGTTTACTGGAGCTAGCTTCCAAATTCTTTTTGCATATTCACGTTCAAAAAACATGTATTCTAAAGTTTCTATTCCTTCCCCACATCTGTAGCAGTATTTCTCCCCTTTTCCAATTCTCCTATCGAGCACTTCATTTACAGAATTATGATGATGATGCTGGTGGCACCCTGTTGAGAGCATGATCAATTTTCATGTATTTTCCTCTCATGACTTTGCATACCGCCTCACTGCCCAGCCTTCTAAGGCTTGGTGGTGTTGGATCAAGGCTCGATCCTTGCCTTCCACCAAAATTGTCACAATATGTGACGGTCTTCGTTGATCATTATGAGTTCCTTCTCCCTTCCCCTAGATTAGACTATAGGTGTTACGAGGAAAAAAAAAAAAAAAAAGACTTTGCTTACCAATAAATTTGGTTTTAGCAGAACCCTCCATAGCTGTTTTGCTAGAAAACCCAAAATGGTTTTAGCAGAACCCATAGCTCTCTTAATCCTCTAAACTTTGTCTTCTTTCCATAAAACATTGCTTACCTGTCTTTTACCCAACCAAACCATACCATATTGGGTCTTACCAAAAAAGAGCATCAAATTAAAGCTTCCAAATTATTCCATAAACTAGTTTTGTACCCGTTAGTTGAACGGGAATCGTCGAAAAATAATAAACTTTAGTCAATTTATAAAAATATCGAAATAAAATACATATTTAATGTATAATCTATTATAACTTGTCTTAAGTATATTACTATGTACGCATTGTAATGTAAAGTATTGTTATAATATAAATTTGAACGTCTAATTCAGTGAATAATAATTCAAAAATAGAAAAAATAATATTTAACAATATCATAACATTCAAAAACTTGAAAATAAATAAAAAGTGCAGTAAATAGTATCAAATAATATTCTACTATTCAGAAATTTGTTTTTGTTTTTTTTTGTTTGAACATTCTTCTCGATTTGTCCGTGCAAATCAACATTTATTGATTTTTTATTATCACTGCATAATAGCAAAGTAGGATAACTAAGTATAAAAACAATAAATGATTTATCGCATTCAAGTTTGTGTATAACAATACGTAAAGATTATAATTAAATAAACGGCCAGAGTCTTTTAATTAACTAATGAATTTGCAGATATATCTAATAGAGATATTTATGTCTCTTGTATTTATATCGCATTACTTTCCAGTACCTTTTGTTGGTTGTCTTTCCTGGAGGCAAATTAACAAACATCATAGTATATGATCACAAAAATCAATTAACAAACATGTTAGAAAAAATCATACAAAAATAACGATGAAAGTACTTGTTTAAATCCTATGTCTTCATACAAAACAAATAGAAAATAAAACAAAAAAATTCAAGATATGTTACTAAGTTTTTACAATTGAAGATCAACATGCCTTTTTAAATATATATATATATATATATATATATATATATATATATATATTGAAAGAGGATGTACCTGATAATCAAGAGGAGTGGAAACCCAAAATCGATATTTTAATATGCTAGCCGCTTGCACTGGAAATACTTAACCACGAATTTGATGCTTGAAATCAATATATTAGAGACTATATGTAGTGTAGACATAGGAAATAAGAATTGATAAGAATACAAAGAGATATTGATAAGAACATTAAAAGTATATTTATCTTAATTTAAGTTGCTTAAAGTACATAACTTTGAGTAGGAAATAAGAATCCTGTAATATTAAGAATTCTTATAGGAAATAAAACCATAATCGTCCAAATAATTTTGGGTAGAAAATAAGATCTTATGTGATCCGTACTATGCACGTATATAAATCTGTACGTAATAAATTTACAAATGCGTTATCAAGATAGATTTTACCGATCTTAAAAGACCACCTCTACTATATTGAGTCCTTTAAGTGCATGGACTCCTATGATGTGGGTCCACACACGTAATATTTCCCATCATCTGGGCAGGGATGTAATGTGTTTAAAGAATTATTAGCAGAAATATATTTAAAAAAAACGGACGGAGTACACTACGGACGGAGGCCTTTCTCTTGGATTGGAGTACGGGCGGAGGGTCGGGTAGGGGCCTTCAGGGTGCAAAACTTCAACAAATATCAAATGTTTTATCTCATCTTTCTTTAGCTATGATAATGGAATTTTATTTCTTTGGTTGATGACACTCCATTTTCTTTATGGACTTTTTCAAAATTTTTCAATCAGATGAAGTGCCATTTTTCTTTGTACATCAATTATGCATGGGGATTGTGAGTCTTGTAAAAATTTTCTCGGGCTAACTTTCTTTAATTTTCATGTCTAGATTGTTTGTATGTTGTTCTATACATGGGTAGATTATTTTAAAATAAAAAGGATCTATGATGAAGCTGTTAAAAAAAAAGAATAGGACACTATAAAAATATATATTAACATTTATTCCTATATATCTAAGAGAGGAGATTTATGTCTTTTTTATTTATATCGCATTACTTTCCAGTTTTTTTTTAAGTAGAAAATAAGAATCATATAATATTAAGAATTTTTATAGAAAATAAGAATTGATATATATCTAAATAAAAAGGAGTAAGTCACGAAACTACTTGCCGTCTCATTAAGTCACGTAGAAAAAAGAAAATATGAAAGGATAAGTACGAGAATACGACTTTATTATATATATATATATATATATATATATATGAATGATTGTAACGCTGACGTGGCCCACAACAAAGCCACTGAAAAAAAAGCAATTTTAGACCATCGCGGACCGTCCGATTTAAAAAAGTCGGCTACGCTGACAGCATCGACCCGAGTTTAACCCGACTTGCAAAGACAAACTCGAGACCTGTACCCTTCCACGCGTTCATGTCTTATTGGCCGGTTCTTATTCCTTTTTTTTATTTAATTTTTTCAGAAATACGAAAAAGCTTCTAAATTCGCCTCCCCGAAATCGCAATACCAGAAAAATCAAAACTCCGGGGTTCGATCACACAAATATCGTTAAACGTAGAGAGAGAGAAAGTGCAATCACGAAAAGATCAATTTTTTTGGAGACTCCGAAAATATCAAATTTTTTTTCAATTGTTGATTCTAGTGAGGAGTAATTAGAGTTGGAATTATTATTCCATTTTTTGATCTCACCGGGGTTTTTACCGGTGGTTGGATTCCGATTGATCGCCGACGAGGTAAAGATTAGGGTTGAAGCGACTACGTGTGTATATAAGGAAGGAATAAGGAAGGAGAGAAGGAGAAGAGGAATAAGAAGAAGATGGTGAATGCGATGGTGGACAGAGCGACGAGCGACATGCTCATCGGGCCGGATTGGGCTATGAATATCGAGATCTGCGATATGTGCAATCACGATCCTGCGTATGCTTCTCTATGCTTCTTTGTGTGATTTGTTGGTTTGCTTGTGTGTGTTCTCATATATTATATATATATATAGGATTCTTCAGCGTTTTGTTTTACTGTTGTATTGGTTGAATTGTGATGAGTTTGAAATGGAAGGCGGTTATTTGAAGTTTTCGTAAAAAGTGGTGCTTTTAATGGCTTTGAGTGTTTTATTTATTTTTGAGAATTGATTGAATACTTGGTTGTGTGGAAGAATTGAATTTGCTGGACTTTAGGTTATTTAGAAAAGCAGACATTTGACTGCCTGAGAAATTAGGCGAAATAAGATCGTGTGTG